TTTTTTCGTTTTATTAAGTTTGGGATCGAAAGTGAGGTAACAAGCAAAATCTATGTAAAAATTTAGTACTATTTTTTTTTTTAAAAAAAAATTGAGATAAATAAATTGTTTAAAATATGTTATATTTAATAATTTAAAATAAATGTTTGTAGATTGTACATTTAAAATGATTTTAATAAATGATTTTCGAGAAGATTTGAACTTTAAATTTTTTCGTTGAAGAAGATGAGTTTTAATTGATTGAATTAATCATTTATTGATAAAAGAATTAGTACTAATTTCAAATAACAAAGAGTGCAAAAGTTTTGAGCTCTATTTAATAGTATAAATGTTAAGAGTTTGATCATGAACAAAAGAAATAAGACTACGAAATCGAAGGGATTAAGAGAGTAATTCATGTGGAAGTGTGCATTTCATAGCGTCACAAAGGGCAGAGATGACTCCTATTCAACCACTCCGCAATGCAGTTTCTATGGAACAGATGACAGCAAGGCAAGCCTGTGACATCCATTGTTGTTTCATGCCAAAGATTTTCATAGCAAATCACGCACGTTTCCAAAGAACCAGAAACCCCATCTGCGTTCTTCAAACCCTCAATGGATTCTTTAGTTGCTGGAACTTGTTCATTAACCTCCTCCCTTGGCTCCATCTCATCAATGGCTGCTTCCCACCTCACGTACTTGTAAATACATAAACTTAACAACTCTTGGCTGTGCTGAGACAGAGCCAGCTTTGCTTCAGAGATGGTTTCTTCCAATATCTGATCAATGCAGAGAGAGCAGATTCCAGATAGCTTAAGCTGGTCAACTATGAATTGGCAACCTTCATTGGAGATCAACTGAGAGAAACGCCAATCTTTTTTATCATAAAACTCCTCTTCTATTACTTCATTGTCGCCATTGTCCGAATCAAGACACTTCAGGATTCGGATTTCGAATGGGATATGAAAGTTGTTTGGATTCTGATCAGTTGTTTTGTCGACAATGTTGTCATCTGATGTTGCTGTCGTTGTCCTGTTCAAGCTGTAAGTAAAGAGAATTAAACAATCTTCTGATCCTTCTTCCATGGAAATAACTTGAAAAACATTCCAAACAAGGTAATGAAGAGATGAAGAAAAAGAGAGAGAATTGTCGTTGATTTCTATTGGGATCAATAACATGATTGAGCTGCAGTACCTGAATGCTGTTTTTACATTATTTGTTTTGGTTTCCTTGACACGTTTGGATTAAAAATCCAGACTTTGAGTTGGAGTTGAATTGAACCCAATGGTAAAGCTAAAAACACAAATTTCATAAATGACAAATTATAGAGAATCGTATTTAATTTATGAGATATTATTCGTTTTAATTCGAAAATTTTATTATTTTATCTATTTCACAAATTAAAATTAAAATATAAATTTATATATCATAATAGATCTTATGTGTCATATAAATATCAAAATTTACAAAGAAATTTAAGAAGAAGAAAGAAAAGCAACAAAAAATTCGAAAATTATGATAATCTATTAACGAAATTCTTTTTATAACGACAAAAAAAAATTAATTGAATTAAAATTCAGATTCAAACCTTAAAGGTTTTTTTACATTCTCTTATGATGAAAAAAAAAAAACTTAATATAATAAAAATATCATGGGTATCTTAATGAGGCATTGTGAAGAGGGTTTGAAATTTCAAGTGAAGACTAAAAGCTTTTATTTTGAATAGAAAGTTTGGAGCTTTGATCAGATGAAAGCAAAGAGACCGAAGAAATCGATGAAAATGAACTGAAATTATTGGCAGTTGAAAGCGCCAGTTTTCTGGAATGAAGAATGAAGACCCAAACTCAGACCAAGTTTTGGGTAGGAATGTCAACTGAGTAGATATTTGATTTTTTTAAATATTTGAATTAGAATTTATTTAAATATTTATTTAAATTTAATATCATTATCTAAATTTAAATCTGTTTAAATATATGAATTCATTAAAATATTCATTTATTTTAATTTTCTGTCAAAATTTAAAATTATCAAGAATTTAATTTAAAATTCAAATTTACTCTTAATTAATAATAAATAAAAATTATTTTTTAAAATCCGAAACTTTCTATAAATATAAATATTTTATATTTTATATATGTAAACGGATAATGACATTGAATACAGATTTAGATATCAATTATTATTCATTAAAACTTAAACGAATTTAGATATTAGATATCTAGGAGATATTATTCATATTGCTTCAAATCCATGATGAATAGTAAATTTTTTATTTAAATTCGTTAATTATCCATTTATAACTATTTGAATCGACATAAATGGATAAGATAATGGCAGATATCCATATATTTATTATCCATTACTATAAGTAATTTTGGAATTCATTTCATTTCTAATATGGTGGTTAATGTGATTCTCATGGATGGTACCTAATTGGATTGAGGTCTTTTTGAATTTCACCATTCCTCTTCTAAATGTTGGTAATTAGTTTCATGTTATTCCTTGTAAGTATATGTCACTCTAAATATATGTCACGATACCCTTAGATTAAGATACAACAAGACCATATTACTTTGAAGTAAAACTTTAAAATAATACGAAATTTTTTTTTTAATCATTTTAAAAATTTTCAATAATAATCTATTAAATAAAATTCATATATTTAATCTAATTAATGATAAATCTTTATATATCCAAATTTAAACTAATAAAAATATAAAACTATTTCATAACATCTCACTCGCTAATAATATCTCCAAAGCCTAAGTAATCTTTCTAATTTAATCCTCTAGCTTTCTCACGACAAGCAAACTTATTATTTTAATCATCTATAATGAAAAAGTAAAAAGAGAATGATTAAACTATAGCTCAAAAAGTATATGCTCATATAACTTATCAGATCAAGCATAATTTTCATATATATCATATAAATCATTTAAAACATTCATCAATCATAATGTCAAAATATTTCAAAAATTACCATTATGTCAAACTATTTCGTAAATCATAAATCAATATCAAAATATGTTAATTCATCAATTATAAATCATAAATTACGGTCAAATACATATTCCATCCAAATCATGGATCAATCTTTAAAATTGTCATAAATCATCATCATCATAAATCATCATTATTATTCATTTATTGTTAGCTACGGTCACTGCTATAACTTATGATGTTGACCGTATTGACAATTTCATTCTCATGATCATTGCTAACTATTATAACCCGATAGTCAGGGTTTTACGCTAACTACTATAACCTATTAGTAGGACCATATTACCATGTCTATACTAAGTACTATTACCCGTTAGGCAAAACAGTAGAATTAATTTTTGTGTCAATGATCCCACTTTTTAGGAATGTAAAAACGTAGTTATCATAAAATCATTTTTTAAATATAAATTATTTTTTTATTTCATTTATAAGCATGATTAAACATTTATATAGCAAAAATATAAAATAATCATATGCTTGATCCTATTTTCATATATCTAAAATAAGAAATAAAACATTTACTTGTTTAGAAACATACATATATACATAAGTTCAAAAACAAGTAAAGTGTATGAGATTCAACTTACCTCATTTCGATTTCACAACTTAGTTTTTTCCTTAAAATAATTAATGACCTTTTCAAGATCTTTTCAACATATCATAAATTAATCAACTCTTTTTGAGACTATTATGTTATTTTCACTAAAATGAGCATATCTCAATATATACAACTCAAAATTAAGATATTTTTAGTGCATAAGAAATTAGACTTGATAAGCTTTCTAACCATATACGGCCAATTATATTATTCATTGTAGATTAATTATAATAATTTTTGCAATTCAAATTATATACTACTATCAGAAAACATGTATATTTTCTAATACAAATTACATATTTATTCATAGAAAAAACCAAATTCAATTCTGTTTGTTTCGTTGGAAAGTAAACTTAATAACCTTTTCAAACATGTATGGCTAATGTATAAAATTTAAGATAAATTTTGTAATTCATTACTAATGCTGATGCCATGTAGCCTATACTTTCTTAAGTAAACATTAGATAACTTTTCATAAAAAATTGGATTTAACTTTCATTTATTTCATTAGAAAATAGATTCAACATGCTTTCCAACGATATATAATAGCCATAACAATATCTAATCTCTCGATATAAATATTATTTTAATTCATTATTATAGATAACAACATCTTATCAAAATATAAAATTTATATTTTAACTTTTAAAAATTTAAATCCCTACTTTCAGCATTTAAAATTCACTTAATAGTCATTATTAAATCTTAATAACATGAAGCAAATAAAACTCAATAATTTACCCAAATTAATCATGAAGATTAATGAAAGATTTCATAATTTTTCTTGACTTTTTTCTCAAAACTTCAACTCTAAATAATAGCAACTAACATGATATTTTTCTTAAATAAAAAGAGGGCCTATACTCACCATTAAAAGATTAACTCAATTATAGTCTTTGATTTTGGATCTTGTTCTTAATTTTTCGTGCCTCTAACCCTAAGGTAGATGGGAAGAAAAACTTCTATTTTATTTTTTGTTTCATAATAACTAGATTTTTCTCTAGTAAAATATCTTAGCTACTTTTTCTTTAGTAATTAACCTCTTAATTAACTTAATAAATTTTAGTAAAGTTTAGTTCAATTATCATTTTAGGTTGGGGTGTTATAGTATATTTTTTAACTTGATAAAATCCAGCCTTTTTCATTTAATTTGGAGTAAAATGGCAAGAACAATTAGCAGATTCAAGCCAAAATCAGCATAGAAACATGATGAAAATGATGACTGTTAGGGACATTTTGTGGTCAAGGGACAAAATAGATATTTTACCTCATAAAATGATTCATCAATTAAATAAAAATAATTTTATCAATTTGATCTGAATTGTGTGTCAAATCAATTTGAAGTTTTGAATTTCACATAAGCTCAATCATATTAGCTGATCAGTTGATGTCATAAAATACTAACTTGTCACTTTTTAATTGGGTCGTTGTGCACACTCACCATATAAATAACTGCACTCCCTCAAATATAAGCATTCAACATCGGAACACAAATGTTAGAAAAACCGTTAGAAAAACTTTTAAATTTTGCTATTAATTGACATCCTACCATGTGATTTTAGGTTTTTACCCGCCATAAGGCTGGAGACAGCCTTGCACTAACAATGGTTGAGGTTGGTTTATGGATTATTTGTATGTAATGTTAATAAAATGATCATTACTAGCTGAATTTAATAGTAAAATTCAAGTTATTTTCATTCTTGAACTAGAGAGTCACAATTAAAATTTCTGATAATGAATTGTCTAATTACCATAAACCAAAATTTAAAGGAAAAAAGAATTGAATTGAAATACTTGACCTCAGATTTGTTGTATTCCCATAGAGGGAAAGAGCCATAATATAATAATGTTAAAAACATGGCTAAGCTAGAAAAAATAATTTAATCAGAAATTCAATTTGGTTCTCCACATCTCTCCAATGACCTTCCTTGGCTGTGGATTATCTGGTCCTCTGTCTCGCTGTCCTGATGTAAAATACAAATATCCATCCCAGAAACCAGCCAGGGTGGTCTTCACACGGTAAGGAAGCTTTCCAATCACTGACCATGTCTGCAATGAGCAGTTTTATATCATGTTCAGTTGCTTGCATCATGGCATTTGCCTTAAAAAAACAACTAGGAATTTTCTGATCTGATAAAGCACATACCAGTGAATCTAAATGAAACTGGAAAACCTCCCCAACCAGGATCATCCTTTTGCTCACTGGGTGCTTTTCTGTTGTACCTCCTGTAATTATGATTGAATTGTTGACAACTACCCAAGAACATTCTATGTGGGAGTTGGGTTTTGGCAATGGAGGTAAGACTTCCCATTTCTTCATTTCAGCATCTAGCATGTAAACATCACCGTAGACCACCTAAACAAAAGGATGGTTATCAAACTTATCCTGGTATGATAGGTTAAAAATACATGTCTAAATAATTATCATCATGGCTTGCAAAGTGACATCTGAGTGCAACATCTGATCCTAGTATAATATACCTCATGCCTGCGTGAACATTTGAAGATAGGTGATCCAGGTTTTGCCATAAAATCTCCCTCTTGACCACCAATTACAAACAGTCTGTCATTGACCACGACACAAGCCCTGTTAAAATGTTTACTTGCAGAATTAGATCATGTTAAAAAGGAAGGTGGAGGGGGGGGGGGGGGGGGGAGTGGCTAAACAGAATCCTGGAGGTAGTGAAACCTATGCGGTCCTCCACGAGGAATAGGGATCTCAGTCCGCCACTCTTTCTCCAATGCTTTGCCATCTTTTACTGCTATGCTCCAGTGCTCCAATCCTGGCGTGTGGCGGTTTTCCTTGCTGCCCCCCATCACATGGAGTCTGCCTCTCCATAACTGAGTTGCTGGAGCATACCTGAAAATTTCAATGCTGAGAATCATGTAGTGTGGTGTGGTTCATGTAAATAAGGGTCAGAATCACATGCCTGGGGGCTGGTAAAGGAGGCATGCTACGCCATTTCCTTGTCTGAGTATCCAGAACAAAAGTACGAGCAGTCGGGCTCCTACATTGGGGGCCATATTGACCTGAGACCACATATATGTATCTCCCATCACTTGCCACCCCTAGATGTGAGTTTGCCATGTCTTTTGGCGTATCAAACCTCGCACACCATGTATTATCGGTGAAATTAAACACATCAACATGAGAATGCACCTGCACGACCCCAACACATCAACATAGGAAAATCAAAACCAGTGACTCGAAATCAGACCAACAGCATTGATATTCAACCATTCGATCTAAGCAACTATTCATCCTCACAAAGTAAATGTTGAGCAGACAATGCTTAAGACTCAAAAGACCAAAAACCAAACTATTAAAAGATTCAAAATATGGAAGCATTCGATATTTGGTGGCAAACAGATTCTGCATTGGACTCAAATATCCGAAAATGTAAGAGATATATGTAAGTACTGCGATGATAATCTTACATGGTCGAGGGTGCCATATCCTGAAAGAACATAGAAAAGATTCCTAATCTGTATTGCTGATCCATCAAGACGTGGCACCGGTGCTGATGGCATCTGTTCCCATGGCAACTCTGGTGCTGGTAAATCCGCAAATGTTGCCGATAGGAATCTCTCAGATGGACTACCCTTCTTTCTTTTCAGAATCACATCCCCTATCTACAAATAGAGATATTAAATCAATACAGTTAACAGTTTATCCATTTTTTTTAACACAAAACACAATTAAGCAACAAAAAGATGGAAAGACAGAACACAAAACCTTGTCAGTAGTGTTGGGATCTTCTTCAGCCCTTGGCAAGACAAAGATACGAGGTTTTTCAGACACCCAAGTGGAAGCAAATCTAAGATATGAAGAGGAAAAAGAAAAAGAAGATGCCCACAAAAGATTTACAATGCAAGCCAAACCCAAAAGACAGGCAAAAGACACAATCAATACAAGTTTTGTGCCAGTGTTGTTCTTGCTTTGATGCTGATGGTGGTGATGTACATTTTTTGCCATTTCTTTTGCAGGTTCGCAAGAGTGTTGCTGATCCTCATTTTCTTTTTATTACAAAGAAAAAGAGAGTTTGAAGAATTGGGACGACAAAAAATTCGAAGTGCTAAAAAGTTGGGCGCCAATGGTTTTTATCAGCCTTTGTAGTTCACTTCTGTTTTTCATGTCCTGTCCCAGGTCGGTAATCCAGGGGCATTCCTAGGTTGCTGTTTTCATGGTCGGTCGGCAATTGCAATGGGCTGTCTCTGCAAAACCTGGGCCTGCCTTTTTGATTTCTTGGGTCATTTTCTCTTACGGCTGTGTTTGGTTTTAGGCTGGTTGGGCCTCTCACAATGACGAGGACCGAACTCTAAAAATTGGCGCAAGAATGTTTCCCGCACCCAAATTTTTTTTCCTCACCTCTCATTATTATTAACATTTAATTTTTTATTTAATACATCGTAAACTTAAAATACAAATTTATTTAAAATTTAAATATTTTTTTATTTTATTAAATCAGATATAATTATTATTAAAATTTTAAATCATATCATTTTCATATTTTATATTAATGTTATATTTGTATCGTATTATCATATCATATTTTAAATTATTATGTCTATTAAAAAACTTAAAATAAAAGATAAATCATTTATTTTTTTATTTTTTATTTGATTTTATATTTAATTTTGTAAAATTTTATATTAAAATATTTAATTATGATTCGAAATTTTTTAGAATGAATTTTTAGAAGATCTTAAAAGTTTAGAAAATAAATGTTTGAAAACTTTTAAAAATTTTTTAAAATCTAATATTTTCAAAAAAATTTTTGAAAATAGAAGTTTGAAAATCTTTAATAAATTTTAAAAATAAATTTTCGAAAATTTTTAAAGGATTTAGGATATTCATTTTATAAAATTTTTTAAATTTTTTATAAACAGATTTTTGAAATAAGACGTGAAAAATAAAAAGATGATTCATGAATGAATATTTAAGTAATTTTATTAAAAATTAAAATTTTAAAATATATTAAGAAGAACTAAGATGCAAATAGGAACACTAGGCGAAAACTACTGCCTGTTGGTGGACACGCGACAAATCTCAGTTTTCTCTTTTGGTTTTTTTCACCGCTTTACATTTTTTCGTCCTATCATTTTTCAGCTGTCTTCCTGTTTTTCCCTCTTGGTGCCTTCGGGTCTCTGATCAACCTTCAATCTCATTCTCAAGTCAGTTCACTCTCTTTCCATCTTTTTCATCTTTGGGTTTTATTTTCTTCCTTTTTTTTTTTTTTTTTTCTCATGGTTCTTGGATCTGCCCCCGGATCACACTTTGTTAGGGTTCTTCAAGTTTCTCTCTCTCTCTCTCTCTTTGTGCTAACGCTAAGCCTTGTTGGCTTCTTTGTGCTATTTTTTAAATTGGTTTTTTTTTTTTAATGATAAATATCCAAAACCTGACTCTTGTTGGTGTATTTCACATTTGTCTTTTGATTTTAGAATTGCCCACTTGTTTGAACTCTCTAAAGTTTTTCCCTTTTTGAAGGATTAATTAACATTTGGCTAAAAAATGGAACCTTTTTGGAGTTGTTGAATATATCATATGATTGCTTAGTTTAATTTCATCTGGTCCTTGGTTTTTTGTTATTTTATTTATATTGTTTTTCTTATTCAGGTTCTGCTGATTTTGCGGGAATATTAACTGAAATGGCTGGAGGATTGATCCATCAGTTTTTAAGAAGGAAACTTCAGTCTCAATCTGCTGTAAGATTCTTTTCTCCTTTTCCCTGTGTTGATATTACAGTTACATTTACCTGTGGAATGAGCATATGACGGCTCTGTATTCTACATGGTTCTTACCGGATTTTCTCTGAATAATAATGAAAAGTTTATAGAAGGGTGCCTTTTCTCTGATTATATAGGATTCAATTGAGTAAACTTTATGGTTTGCAACTGAAAAGAAGATAAAATTTCGTCTAAAAGTAATTTTCTCCCGGTTACCAATGCTTGCTACACGTTTTTGCACAGGTTCCAGCTTTATCATGGTTTGCATCAAGGAAATTTAATGAGGATTCAGGATCTGCTGGTTTGAGGACAGTTGCACTCCTTGGAGCTGGTATTTCAGGTTTTCTAGGTTTTGCAACAATAGCTTCTGCTGATGAGGCTGAACATGGTTTAGAATTTCCCAATTATCCTTGGCCTCACAGGGGCATCCTCAGTTCATATGACCATGCTTCGTGAGTTTTAGGCCTCTCCTTACTGTTTTGTTATTTGCACAAAACTGAATAAATTTTACTTTAAAAGGTGATCCAACCATGAATGTTAATGATTCCAGTAAATTTAACTTCTATTGCTTCCTATTCTTTGCACGAGGAAAGACCTCGTATATCGGTCTTGCCTTCCAATTGGAGAATAAGATGCATCTATCTAAACCTAGGGTGCATCTCTTCCCTAGGAATCTATTGAAAATCTTTCGCCATGATTGTAATACTAGGTGAAGCATGTGGTACCATAGTGTTCATGATGCTGGATTAATTTTGCATGATCAGGATTCGTCGTGGTCACCAGGTTTACCAGCAAGTGTGTGCATCCTGCCACTCTATGTCTCTAATATCATACCGTGATTTGGTGGGTGTTGCATATACAGAAGAGGAGACAAAGGCTATGGCAGCTGAGATTGAGGTTGTTGATGGTCCTAATGATGAGGGTGAGATGTTTACTCGTCCTGGTAAACTCAGTGACCGTTTTCCTCAGCCATATGCAAATGAACAAGCAGCTAGGTTTGCTAATGGAGGAGCTTATCCTCCAGATCTAAGTCTCATCACCAAAGTAATTCCTGCCTTGCTTTTTAGATAACTGTGGAAGTTACTGGTTATATATCCCTGACATATCATACTTTTTATTCTTTCAGGCTCGTCATAATGGCCAGAATTATGTGTTTTCCCTTCTAACTGGTTACCGTGATCCTCCTGCTGGTATTGCGGTAAATTCTGCTTTATACTGTCTTGCATAACAGGGCATTTTGTACAAACGTGCAATTTTGGAACTCTATCTTTGTAGAAAGATACTATAGGCAATCATATTTAGATATTTGGCAATTGGTAGGATAAAAGGGAAGAGACAATGTGGTCTGAATTTGGAATGAAGTTTATAGCTCTTCATATTTGGTCCATGTTAACTGCTGCTTTTCAATGAATTTCTGTCTTATGAAAATGGCACTTTTAAAATGCTATGGTTTTCTGTTGCAGCTATAATTCTAAATTTAGGCATTGATTTTTCCTGGACTTTAGTTCTTTCTGTTGAATACACATACGTTTACACCTTGTTGTTAATAGCATGCTATAAATATCTAGCCTCGTCTGAATATTTTTGGTTGAGAGTAATACCTAAAGTCATCATTCCCCAAATTTGTAGATTCGAGAGGGATTACATTATAACCCTTACTTTCCCGGGGGAGCAATTGCCATGCCTAAAATGCTTATTGATGGTGCTGTGGAGTATGAAGATGGCACCCCTGCAACTGAAGCTCAGGTTGGTTTCTACTTTTTTTTTTTCATTCATATCGCCTATGAGTTCGAGAACCCACCTAAGTATTTGCATATTTTATGGGGTACATGGCTCAGTCTTCCATATTGTTATGGTGTAGATGGGGAAAGATGTGGTGACATTTTTGTCATGGGCAGCAGAACCAGAAATGGAAGAAAGGAAGCTGGTGTGTATTATTATAAATGATTGTCTCATATAAAGACCTTGTTTTAATGAATTTATTTCTGATATTGCCGTCTTCTAATGCAGATGGGTTTTAAATGGATATTTGTATTGTCATTGGCATTACTTCAAGCTGGTTACTACCGGCGCTTGAAGTGGTCTGTTTTCAAATCTCGCAGGCTGGTCGTTGATGTTGTCAACTAGCGTTCCTGCTGTTTCTCTCATGCTAATGCGCTTTTTGAGGAATTTGATGCGGCAATAATTACTTATTGGGATGGTCTAGGAACCGCTGTGACCAATTGATGGTTCTTTTCTCAAATGGTAATGGAGTAACCTGATTAATCTTTTTTTTTTTTTTCAAGTTGAGAAGTAATAAGTTACTTCCCATTAATTTTTGCTTGGAGACTTGAAGTTTTGTTAGATCTCTTTTTCAATGCTATTTCTTATGGTTGGAAACTTGATCACTGTTCTTAGTGCCAACTAAAGTTTGTCATTCATATCTGTGAATGGAATCAGTTAAATGAAAACGGTCCATTCTTATTTGAAATATTTCTTTTGGTGAAACAGTGAATCATTCGTTGGTAATTGGTTGAAGGTTAGGATTTATGCAAATCAAGCATTGCAAAGTGCTTTCTTTTTCTTTTGTTCTGGCTATGGAGCAGGGGAGATGGTGTTCTTTTATTTTTATCTCATACCTCATCTCAAACCTTTAAAATAATAATAATAATAATAATAAATCTCCTCTCTAGAGGTGTTCATGGGTTTGGTAGGATTTAGGTCTGATTCATGTTTAGTATTAATAATTTATGTACTTGTTCAGTTTGATATTTTAGATCTTAATTTTCTTAAGTTCGATTCAAGTTGAAAAAATAAATTTCAAACTCATTTATAAAATTTAATTATATATATTTTATTCAGATCAGAATCGAATTTTAATTTTTGTTCAAGGCTCGATTTAAAATTTAATCAGATATAACAATTATATTTAAGTGTAAATAAAGGATTTTAATTTTTTATTCAAATTTTTTTAAAAATTGGAGCAGGCTTTTAGGTTTAAACGGGTAACTCGGTCCTTAAATAGGATTATTCTTCTCTGATCAATATTGAAATTGAGACTTCAAATCTGAAAATCACAAACATGTTTTGCAATAGAATGAACGTTCGATCTTAATCATCAACTCTTGAACATGTAAGAAGGTTCCAACTCTACTTTTATCAGGAATTTTGAAAGAACTATCCACAAAAACATCAGCCAATTGACCAACAGAATACACACTGTAATCATCCTAGAATCCCGAGATGTTCAAAGACAATGCAGTTAACATCTCCAGTCCTACCTAACAGTAAGAATGGGTCCGACCTGGAAAGGCATCAAGCCTACAACTACAGTTTCTGTATCAGACTTACTAGCCAAAGAAGCCAGAAAGAACAGGCCTTGGAAATTTGAGTTCATGCCTTGTAAAACGGATCAACAAGCCATATATATTTGCTTTCTTTTTTGTCAGCTCTGAGTCTCTTCAGACCAAGTAATACCATAAGTGAATCCCAAACCTTAATTCCATGGAAGGTGTGGCATTGCTGCCCTGTAAAGTCCTTTGTCAAATATGTTAGTGGAAGTTATGTAGCAATACTTGGTAGCATTTGTTGACATGAGAAAAACAAGTGGGTCTTGAGATGCCGTGAGTTCTTGCTCGAATGCAATAGCAACTGATCTCCATGATTTACAAACACAAGCAAACATCAAGTATTCCAGCACCCCAACTCGCTTCAAGATCAACTCAAGTAAAACGGCAGGGAGGATTCTGACCATTATCATTAATTTCCAAATTACAGCATTTCATTCCTAGAAAATTGGGCATAACCATCAAATGACTTATCAATAGCCTATTCGAGCCCAAAACTTGATAAGGGTACTAGCAGCACCAGGTCCACATGATAATTGCCATTTTCAGATGTTGAATATAAGGAGGCCATTTTCAATTACTAATAAAATTTAAACCCAAAAAAAAACAAAGATAATTCGTAATATACATTAATTGTTAGAGGAGAGATCACTCATATCAATGTAAATTTTACATTTTTTTTTACCCTTGATCAATTATATATGTAGGAATTCAACACAAGATTGATACTGAGAATTTGTTGTGAAATTTTGATTCACTAAAAAGGGGTTGATCCTACTCTAAATGCAGTTGTTTTGTACAAATATATATTTTTGGAAATACTTTTATTAACATATCAATTGATTGTAAATATTATTATGACCTCAACTCCATTCACTAATTCAGTACATCTATTTAAATAATACTCTTGTAAAAAATACTTATAGAATTCTCAGTACAAGATGATGATCATTTTCTTAGGGTTGTTGGGACTATATACGGTAGTAGTGGTGGATCTAGAATTTTTTTTGGGGTATCTACTTATAATACATATATATATATATATATAATATTATTGATAGATTTACTAATTTTATGATATCCCGAAAAAAAAATTTTCAATCTTTTTTCCAATTTTGGGGGTGTCTAGAGAAATTTTGAGGATGTTTAGTGAAAATTTTTTTTAATCTTGTTATTTTTCAATTTTAGAAGCGTCAATGGACACCCTCCCACTAAGATGGATCCGTCACTGTATAGTACATGATAGGATCAAATCTTCCTGATTTTAAGAGCATATATCCTTTCGTATCGACTAAATGCATTTGTAATATTATTCTTGGAGTGCTCTCGGAATCAAATCTTGATTGGCAAAAAAGGCAACTTCTCTCTTTAACAATTAGGGTAACCTTTGTGATTATCCTCTTATATTATTTTAGGACGTAGAAAATATCTTTAAACTTGGTCCACCAAATAATGGTTGGATTTCATGACATGCCAAGTGAATCCTATGGGTAACATAAAATTTGAATTTATTCCATATTACAAACACAAAGAAACTGAGAGCTTTCATGATTTTATATATATAACCAGGCAAGGTGACTCACCCAACCCAGAATATTACATTTTAGATATTGTTTGATATAACATCTAAGGGCTTGACCATGATGGAGACGCATACTTATACAAATGCAGCAGAAGAAATTTGTTCTTCTAATTCTAACGGGCTCAAAAGTAACATACCAGGCTTGATTTATACATACTGCTACATAGTCTTTTTAATTCAATCCATGTTCATCTTGAGCACATCTATTTTAAACTTGTTTAGCAGATACAAGTTAGGCCTCACATCTTCAATCTTTCACCCTATTTACGTGCATGAACATTTGGTGGGTGAAGTTGATTTATGTTTAGACCAAAAATCTGGGGCTTCAACCTAGCCTTGATCTATAATTCTCTAATCCAGGAGTAAACTGCACAAATTCAGTTCTTTCTTTTTGATCCTTCGACGTCGATCGGTCCTCAATGAAAAAAACCTTGCCATATTAAGGGGAAATTGTTAGAAAATAGAGACTGATTATTCTTCTTATTCAAGGACATACTAAGTTTTTGCGTGCATGCATTTTGATAAGTATCTAGTTGATCTTCCTAATCAGGGATTTAATTTCCTATATTCATAATGTCAGTTTTGTTAGTGGTCCAACATCATGCACGTATCCCACACCTCATAGGCTAATTATATGTTAACTCAAACATGTATCCTTCATCATTTCTTAACTTCTCTAAAAAACATAAAAAAAAAAATGATAATAAATAACTGCCTAAATGTGCTTGCAACTTAAAGCTTCTTTTCTATTAATACACTAATCCGTTTAAATGCAAAACAATAATCATAGTAGTAATTAACCCTAAAAATCTTTTCTAGAAATAATTAACTTAAATAAGTACCTCAGCTGTAAAAATACATCCTAATGGTCTTCTTTTATCATCATTTATAAGCACATAAAAATGACATCGGAGTGTCTACACATCATACAATTTAGGCTAAGACTAAGGCAAACTTATTCAAAAAATAAAATTGGCCTATCTTTGATCCAAATTCACTAAATAAATGCAGAAATAAGATGAACTGAAATAGAAAATTGCATTCATACTAGTTAGAGAAGAAAAGCATGAATATAGATGGGATTATGGTCAGATTCATTATTATGTAATCTGTATGAGTAAATGAATTCACATGCAAATCCTTTGATTTTATGCACGATTCTAACAATGCAATCTAAAAGTTATCATGCTTGGAGGGATATTCCTTGCCTATATATTTTTTATTATTCTTTGGTAGAAGGAGAATAGAGTTTTCTTTATCCTTAAGCAATTTTTTAGATTGTTCTTCAAATTTTGTATCTTTTAGGTGAATTTCCTAGAGTGTTGAGCTTCTATTGTTCTGTATTTTTGATTAAAATTCTTAAAGTGGTACTTCTGTATCCTTTAATTTTTAGTTTTGATGGTGAACTTTTATCTCTTTTAATCCAATAATTATATTATACCATTATTCAAATTCTTGTGAGTTATCTTCTTTGTGAGTTTTTCTATTTATAGTTAATCTCCACATATCAAACATCAATTCTCGATATCAAATTGGTATTAGAGCTATAGCAGGTCATCATCATCAAGCACCAATAAAAGAGGTTAAAGCCAATACTGACGTTGTAGCCACTACCAATGTTGACCCAATGTATACCCTCATAAAGGAGATGCGATAATAGATCCTTCAACTACAATATCAGCTGCATATACAAAAAGAAAGAGAGAAAGTAAAGAGGCAACGAAAGAGAAACGAAGAAGATGATGGAGAAACCAATCCATACTATGAAAATAATAGTTATTCTAATGATAGCACCCTGTCTCACCCACGATAAGTCAAAAACTATCTATGCAGAAACTAACTTCAACCTAGCATATTCAATCCAAAAATAGAGATTCCTGAGTTTGAGAAAAATATGCAACCTGAAGAATTTTTAGATTAGCTACACACGGTGGAACATATATTTGATACCATGATGCCCTTAAAAATGTAAGGTAAAGCTAGTGGCCAGCAAACTTAGAAAGCATACATCTTTTTGGTGAAAAAATTTGAAGAAGCAAAAAGAAAGAAAAATGGAAGAAAAATTATAACTTGAGAGAAGATGAAAAAAGAGTTAAAAAGAAAGTATCTTTCAGATAACTTTTGACAAGATGTCTTTCTTAGGCTCTATAATTTGAAGTAAATAAATCTATTAGTGAAGGAGTATACGGCTGAGTTTGATCATCTTATGTTAAAATATGAATTAATGAAAAAAATAATAGACTATTACCCGACATCTTCGAAGAGTGAAGATTGAGATAGCTAATATGGTGCAACTATAACCCTATTGGACTTTCAATTATATATGCAAGCTTGCCGTTAAGGTAGAGAGACAACAAAAGAAAGCCCGTGATAGCAACTTGAAATTTGGGTATCGAGAAAGCAAGCCTCAATCTAGTACACAAACCAAAAGGTGTTTTAAATATTAAGGGCTTAGACATATTACCTCAGAATGCTCAAATAGAAAGATTGTGATTTTAGTAGAGGAAGACTTGAAGGAAAATAAAAAAGAGTTGGTTGAAGAAGATCAAAACCTTGAAGAGGAAGATAAGGCAACCTATGGCGATTGTGAAGTATCCTTAGTCAAACAATACAGCTTGAGTACTACACCAGCTAAGAAAAAAGATTGGTTGCATAAAAACGTGTTTCACACTCGGTGTACTATCTATGAGAAAATATGTGATGTTTTAATTGATAGTGAAAAGTTTTAAAAATGTTGTTTTTACCTTTATGGTACAAAAATTAGACCTCA